CAAGGAATTTGAGAGACAGAGATGTTATGGACTTGAAAACACTTGAGAGAATCCTCCGCATTTTATCACTCCTTCCTTTCTCCATGGGGTTAGGAAAAATTATTTTAACATTTGATTAGTGAATTTCAAAAGGTTTAAGGAAATGGGTTGTAGGTATATAATAAACAGGATTGACAGTTCCTTTCTAGTCAGACACCTCCTTTTCTGACAAATCTTAGCAAGCTTTGCTTTGTTATTGGAAATAAACGTAGGAATAGGTTCTATGAGAACTTGTCCTGTCCCTCTGGAGAGTTTCATCAATACAAACACAGGAGATGGTAACTATTTTGCTTCCTGGGGCCCTCCAACTATGTCCCTTTTAGGGTTCCCCTTTTTACCTACCTTCTCTGGAATTGTGGGTTCTAGCTCGGTTATCCTTTGCTTCACATCTATTATCTACTTATGACTGAACATATACCATGTTTGTTTTTCTGGGTCTGATTTACCTCACTCAGGAAGTTTATTCCTAGTTCCATCTATTTGCCTGCAAATTTCAAGATGTCGTTGATTTTTATCAGTGGGTAATAATTCACTGTGTACCACATATTCTTTATCCATTCTTTGGTTAATGGCCACCTAGGTTGCCTACAGGTTCTGGCTATTACAAATAGTACTACTATGAGCATAATTGAGTAAATAAATGTCCTTGTTACCAAGAATGTTCATCCTTTTGGGTATATGCCTAAGAGTGGTATTGCTGGGTCTTGAGGCACATTGATACTAGATTTTCTGGGAAACCGCTATACTGATTTGTGGTTGTACGAGTTTGTACCCTCACCAGCAATGGAAGAGTATTACTCTTACTCCACACCCTGTCCAGCATAAGCATCATCAGTATTTTGATCTTAGCCATTCTTATAGGTGTTAATATGACATCTCAGAGTAGTTTTGATTTGCATTTCCCTGATGGCTAAGGAAGCTGAACAATTCCTTAAATATCTTTCAGGCATTTGAATTTCTTCTGTTGAGATTTCTCTGTTTATATCTGTAACCCATTTTTTTTTTATTTTGAATATTTGGTATTTTGGTGTCTAGTTTCTTGAGTTCTTTATATATATTGGAGTTCAGCCCTTTGTCAGATGTGGAGTTGGTGAAGATCTTTTCCCATTTCTTGTCTTATTAACTGTGTCCTTTGCCTTACAGACAATTCTCAGCTTCTGGTGGTCCCATTTATTTATTGACGCTTTCAGTGTTTGTGCTACTGATACTATATTTTGGAAGTTGTCTCTTGTGGCCATGTATTCAAGGGTACTTCTCACGTTCTCTTCTAGCAGGTTCAGTGTAACTGGATATATGTTGATGTCCTTGATCAGCAACTTTCGAGTTTTGTGTATAGGAAAAGATACAGACCTATTTGTATTCTTCTACATGTCGGCTTCCAGTTATGGCAGCACCACTTATTGAAGATGCTTTCTTTTTTCCATTGTACACTTTTGGTTTCATTGTTAAAAAAAAAAAACAGGTGTTCATAGGTGTGTGGATTAGTATCAGAGTAGCCTTCAGTTACATTTCTTTGATCCACATGCTTATATTTCCACCAACACCAAGCTTTATTTTTATTGTAGCTCTATAGTAGAACTTGAAGTCAGGGATGGTGATGCATCCACAAGTTCCTTTATTGTACAGGATCGGATTGCCTGTCCTGAGTTTTTGTTTTTCAATATGAAGTTAGGAATTTTTCTATCAAGGTCTGTGAAAAATTGCGTTGGGATTTTTGAAGGGGATTGCACTGAATATGTAGATTACTTTGGGTAAATTGCTGTTTTGACTATGTCTATCCTACAGATCCAAGAGCATGGGACATCTTTTCCTTTTCTGATATCTTTTTTAATCTGGGAGGGGGTAGAAGGGAAGGGATGGGGATGCAAACATGAGGGATCAAGAAGACAAAGTTGGGGGAAAGATGTAGGGGAATAACAATGAAAGAAATGTCTTGATAGAGGGAGCCATTATGGAGTTTAGGAGAAACCTGGTGTTAGAGAAATTCTCAGGAATCCACAAGGATGACCCCAGCTAAGATTCCTAGCAATAGAGAAGAGGGTATGGGAAAAGGCCTTTTTTTATATCAGATTAGTGACTATCCTAATTTTCATCATAGATCCTACATCCAGTAACTGATGGAAGCTGTTGCAGTGACCCACAGACAAGCATTGGCCTGAGCTCAGGAGTTCAGTTGAAGAGAAGTAGGAGGGGTCATATGAACAAGGAGAATCAAGAACACGATAGGGAAAACCACAGAGAAAGTTGACTTGAGCTAGTGGGAGCTCATGGACTATGTTCTGACAGTGAGGATCCTATATGAGACCAAACCTGAGATTGGCTTGATCTTTTGGTGTTGCTCCTGGCAATGCCATTATGAATTGGATTTTTGGGACCCATTTCCTGTGGTAGGATACCTTGTTCAGTTTTGATACAGGTGGGAGGGACTTGGTCTTTCCTCCGGTTGTTATGTCATACCTTGTTTGCTACCCAAGGAAAACCTTACCCCCTCTAAGGAGTGGATGGGAGATGAAAAGGGGAAAATGGGAGGACAGAAGAAGGGGAGGTAGGAAAAACTTGTGTTGGTATGTAAAATAAAAATTATTTTTTAATAATAAAAAATACAAACACAGCGACATAGCTATTGTTTGAGTCTCATGGTGCTACACTGTTTCAGCTGCATCCATCAGCAGAATCAGTGGCAAGAGGAGCTGTGTTGTCTTTCTGTGCCTCTGGAGAAAACACCAAATCTCTCTTCTGGGGGAAACATTAAAGGCATCACTTTTGCAAGAAAAAGCAAATGAGGAAGACTTTGTGGCAGAAAAAGCAAGCAAATTGTCCCAACCTTCAATTCATTACCTGAATAAAATTGAGCATTATCTAACTTATTTATTTGTCCTCAATTCACCAATACTAGACCTTAAAGCACTAATCAGATGGTATTAGCAATACTGTTTCTTAATATAGTAATTTTACTATGACACAGTGGGGCAGACTAAGTACAAACTGATGATAAAGCAGTCAGCAAGGCCTTTTTCTACTTACCTGTCAAATTTTTAACTCAGACTCAAGTCAGTCAGGAACAGATTTTAACATGTAAAACTGCTTTTAATGTATATACTTAATTAAGGTCAACTTTTGTAATATTTGAAATTTGATTTTTTAATATGTAGAAATAAAAGTCTTGTTATATCCAAAGTATAATATCCAGTGGTGAGAAGACATGTTCTGGCAAAGATTACTTAAAGAGAAGAGTCAGAAATTATTGTTATTTATACAGTGAATATTGTTGACTTCAGCTTTGAAAGACCAAACATTAGACATACTTATCAACTGATCCTAAAACACTTACTAAAAAATTATTTTTGATACCAACCAACGGATGTGAAATGAATTCCAACCTATTTAAATACTTGCAGCAGTTTTTTGGTTCATTTTCCCTTATCCCATTGTTTCTTATACTTAACTTATTCTCCCTCAGGCAGAAAAAGTTATATTTTTAAAATGCATTTAAGGTCACATTTAACTCTTTTCCTTGAACATTTCAAAGATTTCTATTAAATTTGCCTTAAAATCCATGCATATCTCCTTGGCCATAATATTTTCTGCTTTTCTTTTTCCTATTGACCCGATTTGTCCTTCACTGGGCCACATACTCTCCAGCCCACGACTGTATTCTTGATGTTGATTTCTATAGACTCTTCCTCCATTTTTACCATCATGTCTGCATCATTTGGAGTTTATACCTTTCCTGCTGGTTCTGTGTCTCTTCAATTAAGATAGACCAGACAACAGAAGTCCACAGTCCTGATTCCAGTCACATCTCACTTAGTGAATTAATGAGTTTATTTGGATTAATTACAGTTACTGGGTCAGCTGCCTCAAATAGCCCACTCCCTCAAAGGGGTTGAATCGTGATGAATCACCATATTTCTCTGAGCATATTACTCTGTTTGCTCTTCCCTCAATGGTTTTTCACAACTTAACTTTATCCTGGAGAAGGACTACCTGAGGCTAATACGTTTCCTTAGTTTGTTATCTCTATAAGTGTTATGAGCTCCCTGAGTCTCCAATATTACCTTCTGGAACAATATGCCATTCCAAAAAAATGCAATTGCACATCAATGTCCATTCTTCGAAGAAGACTTTCTTCTCTATCTAGAGAATTCCCAATCCACTGTCAGTAAATTATTTTCTGTTGAAAAGCAGGTATTTATATGACATTTTATCATTTACCAAATGATCTTTTCTTTTCTTTTGAAACACCATCCCTCCATAATAAACACACACACACACACACACACACACACACACCACATATATATGTGTGTGTGTGTGTGTGTGTGTGTGTGTGTGTGTGTGTGTATGGTGGTGAAATATATGTGGGATGAATCTCATGTTATTAATTACATCATCATTTTAAGAATGTTCTAAAGAGAGTTGTGAAAAGAAAAAATATACAAGAAACTTAAATTTGGTTAATACATTGTGTCAGAATGCAGTTGAAAAGTTTTGTTCAATAAGACCTAGTTTTGAAATTAGGATATCTATCTGCAAATGTAGACATACTCAAGTAATCAAAATGTTGAAATTTTAAAAGTTTTAAAATGATATATTTCCCTTCAGTGATGATTATTCTTTCCTCTTTCTTGTTCTTGTTCTTAATCAGTCAATCCCTCTTAAGGTCTGATGGGGATTAAATACACAGCCTCAGGCATGCCCAGTAAAGGCTCAGCTCCATAGTCTAGGCAGGCATTTACAATTTTCATTTGTTAAAATGGATTTAAAAAAAAAGCTAGACAGAATTTGATATATTTAATGTTATATTGTAATTAAATGGCATTAGATTTGTAAGCCTTCGGAAAATGTATAATGTTTAACTTATTTTTCAAATGTCCAAAAAAGTTATACATCTAAATGTCATTGCATTATATTTAAGTATAATACAAATTTATGACTAAATGCATATCTCTGTTTTCCAGAATAAAAAAATGCTAAAGTTGGAGTATATGTGCAAAGTCAAGGAGCTTTTTGAGATCATCTGTAGTCTCTCTGTTGTTAAGGATTGAGGTGATAGTTAGCAGAGAGATGACATCGAGGGTAAGTGCAGACACAAATACATAATTTTTACGTATTAAAATTCCCAATTTGAATTTCAAATGCACATCCAAATTCATTTATAAGAGTCAAATTAAAATATGGCTATTAATAAAAATATTAAAGATTAGTTCATTCTTGACAAAAGCTGATGAGAGCATAGCATTAAATTTGATGCATACCGTTCCCTGAGGTAAGAAGACTTTAATAATTTAAAATATATGGATGAAATCTGATAAAACATGCAATCTGAATGAATAATCTCAGAATGCCACTCAGAATTATTTATTTCTTACCTGTTCTCTGGAGGTATTAATGGTGGTGGCATGAAGTGTACATTTTACATAGCAAACTTTATGAATAGACAACTGAAGACTACATTAAGGCATGGATTAAAATGATATGGATAAGAATAATTTTTAAAAAATATAAAATAATTGATGTAACATATTTCTGCTCTAACTCCAAAGGTACTATAAGTGTCACAACAGCTGAGAACCATATTCTGACATAGGATCTTTTAGGAACACTTCATAATGAAATGACTATTTGTCTGTCTGTCTATTCATCTATCTGCCTATCTATGCATCTATCATTCATCTATTTACACATTATATTTATTTGTTTCAACCATGGAGTATAAGTATATTTTATTTTATCTGGTGTTTCTCTGTGAAGATGTTTCTAAGAGAGTTTAACACTGCAATGAGTATATTACAGAAAGCCTATGGCACAGTGACTTTCCAGGTTTAGATAATATTCTTGCTGAGCTGAGTGTGAGTAAGAAAATTCACTTTCTCAGAGGGATATTCCCCATATGGGACATTAATCTTCTGCTTTCATAGTTGGAAGTATACCAAACATACATGATTTATTATTATGGTTCTTGCACAAAGAACAGTGTTGAAACGACAATTATCAGATTTCCAAGTAAGCCTTAGCACTTCCCACTGGAACTGTATCATTGGCTATTCTGCATGCCTAAATTTTGACTATTGATAATGAGTTTTCTCAGCCTCCATAGCTAAATCCAAATGACTATTAGAAAGTTGTTTAAATGTTCTTCCAATAAAAAAGCAAATTAATTTTTAATGGAATAAGAAAACATTTTATACCATGCTGAGTGTGAGTTGTCATGTGCCAGGAAACTGTATTCAAGGTTCTTGGAATGACATTGCCTACTGCGGAAGAGGCTGAATTATCCTTTATAGAAAGATGATATGATGAAAATAAGAAATCATTTTTATGTATTTTTTCTGTCATTATGACCAGATATTTGACAAAAAATCAAACACGCACGCACAAAAAATTAAGGATGAGTTATTTTGTTCCATTGATCAGTTGAAGGCTGTCTATCTTGGTTAGGAAGACATACAACCAAGAGAGAACCAAGAGTTCATAGTGCTGTAGAGAAAAGAGAGAAAGTCATAAGTTAATGGTTTGCATTCTTTCTCCTTTACCACCCCTTATTCAATCTAAAAATACCAGCAAAATGCATGCTACTTCTAATACTTCAAAGAGATCCTACAACCTTTCCTAAATTTCTCAGGAACTTCTCAAATACATTCCACAAATTTTGTTTCATTAATGTAGTAGGCCAAGTTCCAATCAAATAGACAAAGCATACAAAATTACAAAAACTGATCAAGTTGTACTTAATGTATTTAGACTGGTACTTATGTAAGTATATGTGTGTATATATATATATATGCCCATCTATGCATATAGATAGACACATTTGCATAGGAATATATGTGTATATACACAAGCATAATTATATACATACGAACATTTACAAATTTATATATTCATCAGTTAAAAAAAACTATGAATTTGAAAAATAGCAAGGAGGACTATGTGGTACAGTTTGTAGGTAGAAAAGGAGTGGGGAGAAATGATGTCATTGTATTCTAGTGTCAACAAGTAAAATAAATAACTTTAAAACCTGACACATTAGTTGAATGAACCTGGTACACTAGAGTTAATAACAATAGATATATTTTCAGACACACACACACACACATACACACACACACACACACATACACACACACACATTAAACTGTTCTATGGAGAAACTGATTCGTTCAGACTTTAGTGTAACAAATATGAACAGATTAACTGGAACAGTGCAGTTGGTAGGAGGGAAAATAAAATGATACATTCATGGTACCTACACCTAGACACACAGAATAGACACATAGTTAACACAGAAAAGAACAAGTGTGACATTTCCCTAGTAATAGAATTACTGTAAACTACCACAGTATGAGGTGTAAAATTTATAAGTTGATAACACCATATTCTGAACATCGCTTATGATTTTAGTCAAGGAGAAAAGACTCATCATTTGGGAAAACTATAACAGATCTAACACATCACTTTAGTAATCTTTTGTTTTATTTCTTTCTTTGTTGAAAAATAATTATGGACGCCGCGCACCACGCCCCCTGTCTGCGCTGTATGTGCTACACTCCAGTTCGCGAGCTTCAGACAAGGGGCTGGAGGTTGAGGAAACAAGCACAGAGACAGACCAACACACGGACCTCCAATAGCTGGTACAAAAGCCCTCTTTAATAGCACCGTGGAGGCTTAAATACCCTGCAGTCAATGGACAACAGGTGAAAATCCCATCCTCTGATGCTCTATGCAAAGCACAGCTTTTAGTAACTTCTAGCAGGGAAGAGGAGCTGAAGACTAGGACTCAATTAGTCCCAACATATGGACACTCATCAGTTCTATAAAATGACCATGCTAAATTCTTGAATACAGGGTAAGAGTAGGAGAATAGTTAGAATCTTGCATAAAATTGTTGTTGAAGAAATACTACCTCTTAAAATAGACATAGTTCAATTGTTTGGTACAAACAAAGAGAATGCTGCTTTTAAGTTGCTTATGAGTTTATAATTAAATTGCTTAAAGGAAAAATATAACTAATCACAATATAAAATAGTAAAGGTAGGTAGTCAAATATTGAGAGCAGAAAAAAAGAACAGAAGAAGGAAAAGAAAAATTAAAGAACCAGTTTTGAATTAATTAGAAGAAATTTAAGAGTTAGAAGCAATTGTCAAATTCTGACAACCTGTTTTATAGAAGAATGAGTCAGAAAATGATTTACAGCTATGTACAAAAAAGAATGCTATTGAATTTTATTATTAAATGTCCATTGCAGAGCTTAAATAGAACATTTTCAGAGTGATAAGGCCATGAAGCCTTTTAGAATTAAATTTTCTTTCAATTACTCATACCAAAATAAAATCCTCCAGTCTTCCTGAGCATAAAACAGCACTTAGTTCTCATCCCTTGTGACCAATGCAGAGAGCATTGCACACACCCTGATGCTTTCGGAAAAATTGTAAATCTTCATGCTACGAATGCTGATCAGACAGCTGGCACCAGAAAGCCTGGGGAAGTGTTAAAAATTAATTTTACAAATAATTAATAGCTCACCTCTGATAAATGTGGAGGATAACAAAACACTATAGATTCTATTAGAATGAACGTTGTCTGGGTTTTGCTACTCTAGTGAAACTCTTACTAGAAGACGATAACCTTGGATTAGTTTACTTTCCAAACATTATAGATGGAGAAAGACAAAAACATGAGAATTTACAGATGCGAACAATCTGCTGTTTTTTCATATTTTCATTTCTCCAAAACAACAGAGGGAAAAAATAATCAAAAAACTTTGATCAAAGGATCTACTAAGATTTCTTACCCTAAAGGGGTGGAGAGTGATCAGTGACTAAGATTCCATGTTGTACTAGCCTTGAAATAGAGCTCAGCACCCCCCCCAACACACACACACTCACATGTACAATTAGAGGCTAACAATGCCTGGGCCTCAATCTTGGATGTACCCGGTACTTTTCTGAACTTTTCTTGCAGGTGCACATACAAGTTCACTTATTAACACACAATAACTCATAATTTAAAAATAAACTGAGCCTTAAAAAGAGTTCTTTGGTAAGGAAAGTATTTATATTCAGACTGTTTTAAATTATGGAAGTTGTTTTTCATTAAAAATCTAAGGCACTGAAGAACTACAGCTGGGTCATTAGGATGGTAATAGCCAGAGAAAAGGAAATTTGGTGTGAGATTGTCTCTCGTGAAAGGTAAGACCATGAAGTCTAATCAACTCAGCTGTCTAAAGAGGACCCAACCATCAAGACACCAATGGACATACTTACAGCGAAGGAAAAAAGCTCATGGGTGCTCAACCCTAAAGAGAACAAACAATTGGAGAATTCAGAGAGTGACAGAAATGGTCTTTTCCTACCAATTGGTACACACACATACACACACACACACACACACACACACACAGACACACACACACACAGACACACACAAACTATATATGACCCTGTGAATTTGAAAGAGAACAAGGGGTACATAGGATGTATTGGAGGGCGCTACAGGAGAGGGGAAATGATAAAAAATATTATAACTTTCAAAAATTATTCATGAAAAAATGACCTTCAGTTGGTTAGCATTAAAATAAGTTTCAAGAATCTGTACATAGGAGAAAATCATCAGTTAAGCTCTCTGGCTCCATTCATAGGCAATCACTGTAATGTTTTTCCTAAGTAATCATAACGAGATTACCAAATGGACTATGAATTTTGTTAATTTTTTAGAAGACACCAAAATTAATAAGGCTTCAGAGAAAATTAATGATAAGATTTTTTTCTCTAAAATAAATTATTACTTCATTAAGTTGCAGCAACAAGAGTAATCAATGGTTCGAGGTTGGTCTGGGCTGTCAAGCTAGTTATAGGACAACCAGATCTCTGTTACAGAGAGAAATCTTATTGCAAAAAAAGAAACACCAAAAATTCCAGAATAATCTATGAAGGAATGCAGGAGAAATTTGATAACTACTTTAGATATGGCCTCAGAAGCTATTGACCACTTTAGAGATCTTTCCAAAGTTAATGACATGTGATATGGAACACAGTGAGATTGGACTACATAGCGGAATCTGAATCAAGTCAATAGAG